GTCGAATGCCAGAGAGTTCTGGCGATCCTCGGGGGAGCAGACGGCGGCGACAACATATTCACGAGGCCGTATTGGGATTTTATTCCGTCGCTAAATCCTCGAATCTCAGCGGGTTTGGCTCTCTACTCCGCGTGTTTGCGCGCGCCACACGGTTCTCAATATACGCAGTCGAAAGGAAAGAGCAACGGTGAACTTTTTCGGAGTTACTGTGACTCCTGCTAAGCCGACGTCGATGACGACGTCCCAGCCAGCTTTTTTACGAGTAGAAGGACACCCTGAAGACGGAACCGCGACGACGAAGGACTCTCTGGCCCTTTCGACGACGCGTTGCTCGAGGAATCTCTCCGTTCAAACGCTGTGACGCATGGATTCTCGTATTATCTGACTGTGATCCTGCGGGAGAGAGTATGTTCGTCTGAGGGAGAGTCGAGTCGCGTTGGAAAAGAAGGTTGAACGAGGATTTCGGTTTTTTAAATAGGAAATCTTCCTTGTTTAGGTGGAGTTTGTTAGTCCTTTCCGGTTGCGAAATGAAGCAGATTGAAAATCACGTTAAGAGATGGGAGAGAACTTTGGAGTAGCTGAGCAGAAATGTGTAAATTTTGCGAACATCGAGGAATCGAATGAATCACGTGGATTTTTTCGGTCATCTGGTAGAAATGTGACGATTTTCGAAGGGTGATTGTTAAATTGGAATGAACAGTTTTCTTTTAAAAATAGATGTACAATTGTTGAATTAATTTGTGGAAATCGAGATCTTCGAAGTGGTCTCCTCGATTTTTCTCGTAATTGATGAAATTCGAGAAATTCCAGTAATGGAGTAATTTGCAAGAGTGTCTAGAAGACTGCTTGGAAAATGTTATTTTCAAAAAATCATTCAATATTTAATGAATTGCATTATACGACAATTTTGTTTTAATAAAAGAGTTTCATTGTTTCGTCGAGTTTCGAAAATCATTAAATTCTATTGCCACACGCGTTACGAATTGAAACTCTCCGCTTGATATATTTCAAAAATGATAAATTTTTCTGTATTTTTCGTGGCGACTCGTTTCTTCGACTTTCTTATACTTTCATCCACGACATAATCACGCGACAGCTTTCCTTTCTGTTTTATCGTTAGCAACGAAGAAAGTAAGAGAAACCGGGGCACGTGTCGAGAAATGGAAAGGAAATGCAACAAACTTTACAAGAATCTACATTTTGCGCGAGGATTTTTGGTATAAGTGTGTCGCGCGCCAGTTAGGCGATAAGATTACGGAAAGAGATAAGTTGCCGGGGAGATAAAATGTTCTTTGTACATTGGACCTATAATTAATATGTGTTTCAAAGTGTTTGTCAAAACCCCGGTGAAATTAATACGTTAATTATAGACACCATAACTTCTCTTATCACCTCTTCATCTGTCAAATTCACTATACGTATAAAAATTATACAAACGGAACATTGCTAAATAAACTTCTACCAAAGAAATCACGATAAAGAGACGTTCAAATCTTCGCAGAAGTGTCACAAGAACTAAAATTACCATAATTCTTCAATATTCAAACACTTCACTAGACTACATTTTCGAAACCATCACAGAGAATACAAAACTAATTCAATAATTTAATCAATCGTGTTTATTAACGTGTATAACAAAATAAACCACAAGCACATTATTTCTCAAGCACGAATATCATTAAACGGTACGCTCAGAAAGAAAAGAAAGAAAAATTATTGATATTCTAAAAAAAAGAAACCACTTCCAGTTCTCCTCAAAAGTTGATTCAAATGAAAAACAAAAAAATTACCAACTATTTCTGCAAATAAATTATTATCTCCTAATATTCGCACGTTTTCCTTTTCTTTTCTCTCTCTCTCTCGACTATCAATAATTCTCATAATTTCACCGCGGTCGTTTCCGGGGGCGGTTAAATGCGCTAAAATCGCGCGAGATCTACGCCGCTGTCGTATACAATATAATTGGGAACATACGGACTGCAATATCTTATGACTGTGCCGTGCCATTAACAGCGCGACGATCATCGTAATATACGTTTAGTTTAGTTTAGCGGGACGAGGGGTTGCCAAGGCATTGAGCGACCCTTCGCGTGCCACATAGTAGAGGGTGCATAATTTATCGCGTTCTCCCCGACCACCATAATGCAACACGTTACACGCTTCGTATGCATGTAGATTCCGTAGGTTATCGATGCTCCCTCAATGTCCGAGAGGGGTGTAATGTGAGAAGCCTAACTACCGATAAATAACCTAATCATCGATCGGAATTCATTGCTCCCGGTGCTCCGTCTTAATTCAATAGTAACCGTGTAAAAGGTTCAGGTGGCCGAGTAGAAATGATTTAGCACACCTGACGGAACTTTTCGACTTCGCGTACGATAGAATTTCGATCGATCGGATCCGCGATGCTCATTCGTTGTTTTCTCAGCGGTCCAACTGAACGCGACCTGTCGCTTAATCGACACGAATTATTAAACGGTATTTGAGTTTTGGCGACACAATTTCTGCATGAACTTCGAAGTGTAACGTGACTATGTTTATAGATAAAAGCCATTTTACTCAGCATCGAAGTGTACGAACATAAAAAGAGATCGGAAGGAGAGAATTTGAGCAACGACTAGTTGGTATAAGGTGTGAATTTAATGAAAGAAAATAGGTTTCGCGGTCGCATCATACGTAACTCCATAGAGGTACACTTTTGACACGTGTAAATCATGATAACCTGTTCTGGTGACGGAACATTCTGTACGCTTGTTTCGTTAAGTAAACCTAGCTGAAGATAACCAACAAAAACAGAAGTGACGTGGAGACTATTCGAGTTCTTTCAAGAATCACCTAACTCTACTATGTTCACCTTAAAATTCTCCTCCGTAGAATTTTCTACACACGAATAACGTGTGTAATTCGTAACTAAAGAAGAAACGAAGAGGATTGAAAGAGGAAATAACTTTCTCGGTGTCGATCAAACGAAAAAGAAATGGAACGAACGTAAAAGTAAGTAAATTGAAACAACGAACGAGACAGGTGTCGGTGAAGTAAGAGTGGCAACTTGAGACTTCACTTAGAGTAGAATTGATTTTTATTGTGACTAGATTACAAACGGGGCCTTTCGGCGCTCAATATCGCCCAGTAGGAACGTTTACACGTAGTGAGTGAAACGACGACGGGAATGAGAACATTCTTCTGCGGGCATTTGCAATCACTCACCGCGGGAACTGGGATATGTGATTACGACGAACATTTGTACGACATCGGGATTCATACAAAATAGCGGTCGTTTCTTACGTCTAGCTTACATCACTATTTGTTCTATAGCGTTATGCCTGCATCGACTTTCGAAGTTGATCGATTCACGTCGTTTCACCTCTGCGTCGGATCTATTATACGTTGATATGCCGCTTCTTTTCTCTCGAATCTACGATATATCTGGTTTTCCTTCTTTCTTTTCTTTCTTTTATTCTATTTATACTGTGCGCGAGCACGATCTCTCGTTCTTGTCTCGACTAATCGAATAATCGTAATAATTTCGAAGGTTTGTTTTTTCGCTCTTTTTAATCAATGGTAAAATAACGGTACACGGTTTTGTTTAATTAACGATGCAATCGAAACGTAACGAGAAGAAACGGAAATTACGAAGAGGTTGGAATCGACGGACTTCAAAAGTCCAGTTACACGTGCCCTGCAAGGATATCGAATACAGTTTATAATTACTCAATAGTATTAATAATATTTATAACGTACGCATAGTCGATAAAGTGATTTCTTTCCTCGTACACTGTACAAAGCACCGCTGCTCGCTGTCACGACGACGGTGGCCATTTTCGTTTACTTACAGCCTGCGTATGATTTGCTTTCGTTATCTTTATTTATTTATTTTTTTTTCATTTTTGGTATTCTGCTGGATAATATTATTATTATCATCATTACAATATAACAATTTTGAAAGATATTTACGAACCGCGTAAAATCAGCGTCTACTATACATATATCTACAGAATAGTGAGTACATTCTCGATCCGCGCTGGATCTCTTTATTAGTCATCCCATACTTTTCTTATTTCTCTCTCTCTCTCTCTCTCTCTTTCGTTATTCTCTTCTAGTCTGCGATTAAATTTACCATCATCTTTGGAGCCTTGAAAGACTGTTATACAACGTGACAAGTAATAACATTGCCCGTGAATTCTTGTTTCGAAACGCACGATATTCCGTGACACGCGAAGAAAACTAAAATGAACAATTGCAAGGGAAAGTAGAGGACTTTTTTTCTTCTTCTCTTTTCAGGAGAATATAAAGCTTGTTGCTCGATAGATCACGCTTTAAGCGACTGTCTTCGAGAAGAACGACTACCACCTAGTCGAAAATATTGCACTTTGGCTCGAGTATTTGTCAAACGCGTTCGCACGATCTCCGTGAAAACGCGGGAAGATAGAAAATTTCAATTAAGCTCAATCAATTGTTTTATTTTTCTTTTCATAAGAAACATAGAATCCCTCCACACGAAACCCTTTCTCAGGCAAATCCATTCCTTTTTTACGGATGAAGCATGCACTTCGAAACATTAAATATATGTATATTTATATATACCAATACGATCGTCCGTGCATTTACAATCCTATGTACAGCGTTGTTTCCATTCGCCCCTTGCACTGGGGAAGAATGTCGTTAATTCGTATGAATAACCATCAAGAACACTCGATTTATCAAGTTCGACGAAGAACAGCGTACGAGTGAATTACAGTAACTCGACATCGTTAGTATTGCCACTAGTGTCCTCGCAAAAACAGCTTGTCCTCCAAGCAAAAGAGTAGGAAACAAGAGAAAGACAGGAGAAAATCGACGAAACTCAAATCTCAGAATCTTTGAAAATGTTCAACATCTAAAACTGTAATGAAAAAAAAAAACAGAAGAAAAGAAAAAAAATACTTGGCATCCATGAATCAAAGGTATACCAAGAATCACTTGCGAGGATACGGGTGCCATCACGACGACGTCCGCTGTTCTCAGTTCTCGTCTCGCGGCAGAGAGAGCGTCTGCGAGCCGGAAGCAATGGACGGCGTTGTCCAACAGTCAAGCAACGATGGCCAATATCCAGTGGCTGTGGTAGCGTGTTGCCAATAGCTAGCCAAACCTGTACTACCACCGGGACCAGTTCCAGATCCACCTATCCCTATACCAACGCCAACTCCAATACCTCCAGCTGTCGCGATAACCTGCTCACCGCTAATGCCTCCTGCCTCTATCACGCTTCTATCGTCCTCAATCTTCTGGTCCGCCGTGATTCCGTCTTCGTCGTACATCAGGTAAGGGGGATGGGAAGCGGTCGACGAAGGGGTCGACGACAAGGTCGGCGAGGCGGCGGACCTAGGCCTGGGTCACTCTTGCGATCTCAGTTGATTGTCGCTTTGCTGACCGGCGGATACGTTGGCTGCAGCGCCCACCGGTACCACTTGACTGCCACCTCCTAAAGAACTCCCGGAGCCAGCCAAGGAGCTTCCAGAATTCGCGGTTACAGTGTGGTGATGGGGGCTAGAAGTAGCCCCCGCTTCACCTCAGACTTGGGCTCTAGCTGTAGCGCTAACGTGAGCCTCGGCGCTGCTAGGCGAATGAGGATTCGCCTCGCCAGCTGTCGTCAGTGCGTACTGACACGCGCTCAATCCTCCGCCAACAGATGACGCCCTCGAGCCAACAGGGCTACCAGCCGCGGACACCGGTGTGCTGTCCATACTGAAAGAACTGCCGCTTAGGCTGCTGTACCCGTTGCTGTGCTGCCTGGCCTTCAATCGTAACGAGGCGATACTACTCGATGTCATCACTGTACAGCTCTCGGGTGCTGCTGCTGTTCTGTGGTGCGGAGTGTACACCGGTGGTCCGTAAGGATGGTGCGGAGCAGCTGGTGCCGCGTAGGGACATGCCGCTCCTGTCGCTGCTACAGGTGAACCAGCTACACCTAGGCTCGATCCCATGCCGGGTAACATCGAGGTGGCCGCTTGACCCACGGAGACAGACATCCCGCCCATGTGATTACCGGCGACAGACGTTGCCGCGGCGTTGAAACAGTTCACCGGGCTGACTTGGGTGTGATGATGATGATGTGACGCTGTCGGTACCACGGAGCTCAGCGTGTTCACCCAGGGAAAGCCTTTGCTACTCAGAGGGGACGGCACTTTGGCTGCCCAGTTGTTATACGTGCTGTACGAACTGTAGAGTGCGTCTGGATCTGCGAACGGTTGACCGATGAAACTGTTCAAGCTGGCGCTGAAGCCAGGTTTGAAGTCCACCGCGTCGGCTGCTGCGTTCGCGTTACGCGTCTGCTTTCGCCATTTCGCCCTTCTGTTTTTGAACCATACCTGGGAACAAATTTTATTGTTTGGTTAGACGTGATGTTGTACCGAGACGGGTAGATTGTTGTGTAGTTAATATTGGGGTGGTAATTGTGAAAGAGGGCTGTATGTGCTGTATTTTTCGTTTTGAGGTATTTGGACCTAAAATGGTTTCATACCATTGTAATGTATATTTATAATTTCGAGATATTTAGGTTTTTTGACTATCAAGTCTATTTAACGGTTCTATATTATTGTGGTATAATATGGTCAGTGTTTGTGAGTGATTGGGGGAAGAATTATTAAGCCGATTGGTTTAATTTTCTTTTTATTAAAAAAGTGCATGTTTACAGGAAATAGAAGTGGAAAATTGAAACCGATTAGAAATACAGCGTCTGCATGTAATAAGTTGAAAAACAAGCGAATTCCCAAATACATTCAAAACACCTCGAAAAATGAAAAATTCGTAGATACTCAACATTTCAGTTAAGGAGTACAGAAGAAATTCCAAAAAAAAAAAACAAACAGATCATTCCACGAATCGGAGAAAACACTCTAGAATACACCAATTAACGCGAATTATCTTATCTTATCTACGAGACGAAACAATTACACCTCGTTAAGGAAGCAATTGCATCGTGTCGAACAAATTCCCCCTATGTAAACCGCGCCTACCCGACTCGTCCTTTTTTTTAATCAAGCTCCCATCGTCATTTACCACCGGAGCTATTTCCACCGATCTACAAACACCTTATGCTTCAGCGGGTCGAGAAAAATCCACGCGAAATCCCTCTGTTCTTTTACCAAGCGAATTTCATCGTTAACGAATGCCGGTCGTACGTCGCGGCCCGCCCCATTGAAACGAAGAAGCGGAACGCGTTTCTGTTTTTTGTCAGATTTCGCGCGGGGACTCGTTCAGCCAGGTATTACTCATGTAGCGAAAGGGGGGCAAAGGCGAAGGAGGCGGTTCCGCTCGGTAGACGGTGAGTCCTGAGACAAATGGCACGAAAACCCCGGCGAGCTCCTCCATCCTGAAATATGATGGCGTTAATTCAAGGCGGCCCTCCTCTCTCGCGTTCGATACTGCGCGAGGGAGAGAGCAGCTCGTCAGCCGTTTCCACCCTCTTTCCCGTTCCTATCCGCCCTTCAACCTTCTGGATGCCATCCTTTCGCCCTCCGGTTCGTTCGTTTCCTTCGTGTTGCTTTTTCCACGACGCCTCCGAACCAGCTCGCCCCCGACAATTATACGGGTGGTTGCACTCAGATACACGTCGCTCTCGCGTAACTGTAAGGCAACCAGCGAGAAGAGAAAACCTATCTACCGTCGGAAGAGGGGGGAAGTTTCTCAGGCAAAAAAAAGGAAGTAAGGAAGATATCGAGGGAGAAACAACGAGGAAGGTGGATGGAGAATCCTTCGGAAGATGGATGGCTCCACGATCACGCCGTGGAAACGTTAAGAGGCGCGACGAGTCATTGAAAGAGGGGAAGAAAACTGGCTAATGAAGAATAATGCTCTACCTTTTGCCTATTATTCTCAAAACCACGCGCTTCTTGACCTTACGCGCTGTGTTATGAGCAGATAGAAGAGATTAACGCTAAGGATTTAGCGGAGATCTTTGTTCGATCCTTGCGGAATTCAGGTCGTCGTTTCTGCGGCTTCTGTTTTTGTAAGCACACTTTTTCTCGGGTTGTGTATACTCGAGTGCAGTCGAAATGTAGAGATGTTGTAAAATCGATCAGGCGTCAAAGTTTACACGTTACGAGCATAGAGGCAAGAGAATCGAGAGAAACTTTGGAAGATAAGAAGTCGAAACTTCAATTTCTTCAATTTCTACGGCTGCATGAAGTATGCTTTACCTTTGATTTAATTCTAATCGAGAAAAATTCTATTTCTAGTCATCGTCATTTATACATTTTCCTTTCGTTCTTCTTTCTCCAAATTAACACTAATCTCTATTTCTCTATTTAATCATATCACCGTCTACAGATCGCCTCCTCGTCAATGATAATTCAACGTCGTAAATATCGTGGAAACTGGAAGGTGATACGAGTTTCCTCTTCCCCCGTTGAATTTAGCGAGAAGCCAGAGTATCTCGTGGCGCGAGAAAAATATTTCCCCCTCGGCTCGGTGGCGTATGAGCAAACTTTCTTCCGCGAGCAGGAACATCATTGGATTTCACGAAGCAACCCCGTAGACATGACACGGGGCGACGGTAAGCCAAAAGAGGGGGAGTAAACTCGATAGGACAGAACGGCGGCCGAAAGATGCCGTGGCTCGAGAATCAATAAACTCTCGGAAGGCGCGCGCGAGTCGTTTCGTATACACACCAAGAGACCGCGCCCATAAACTTTAACAGCGTCGCAGAATCTTGCCCACGGAGTGGAGGCCAAATCGACCCGCGGACTCATAAACTTGATGAATGAACTTTCCGATCGCACCAGTCACGGCACAAGTCGCTGGATTAGCCGTGCTGCTGGTAATTTTCGAACGGTCCCGATCGCGGTGGTTCACCGCAATGGCGGCCGCCATTTCGATTATACGAAGTTCAAAGAGGAACGGGCGTATTTGCCAGAGTAATATTTCGACGAGTGACAAATTGCTATGAAATTGAGAAGTTTTCGTGTAATTTTACAACTGTTAACTGCGTTTGTTTCTCGTTTGGATAAAAGTTTAGACTTCTTGGTGTAGGTATAATTAAATCGTTAAAAATTGTAACCAGGTACTTTGACGCACTTTTTGCTTAATGAAAATATGAAAGCGGAATTAGAGAGAAGGAATGTATGAGTGAATAAGTTATTGCGTTTAGAAATTTTGGGAGAAAGATAGGTTGATAGATTTAAGTATATTAATAATGGTAATAATTATGCACTGAGAAATTTCTTGCATTATGAAGTTATTTATTAATAATTGGTATTAGTGGTAAAGACAGATCGAAACATTATTAAGTGACAAGTATATTGAAAATAACTTAAGTAGGTAAAGATCTTGCTGATCTTCTGTTCACAGCATGTAATATGAAATTATTTGCAGCATCTCACTAATTCTTTTTTTACAATACTTAATAAGTTGTAAAATAGTTTAAACCTTCTTGAAAAATTACTACACCGTGTCACAGTAAAATAAATTCTAAAAAACAAAAGTTTAAATCATCGAATAATCTAGTTTATAATAATTTAGTACATCAAAATGGATAATATTCTTTATCAATTATGTCCACTGTGAAGTAACATTACCTCGCTCACTAATGTTAAAAGTTTTTAGGTACATCCTCTATCATCAACATTGTACACGAAAAACTTTCGCAAAGGATAATGAAATCGTTGCTTAACACGTTCCATGCAACGTACACTATCGGTGGTCCATTAGACGAAAAAGAATATTTACAATCCTCGAGCAGATTAAAGGAGCAAAAATTGATCGGTCCATTCGGTCTTTGAAAACTCATATCTTCTCCCTTGACGCGTGTTAAATTTCAACAAAAGAAATTTTATCAGATTCCGCAAAGTTCGATACAATTCAAGAACACATCTCTCTCGTACGGTCCAATTACAGTTCTGTTTCCTTGAGATTGATTAGTCGTTGGAACGTTACTTAATAGAAGTATTCGCGATTCGAGAAGCGAGTCCAGCAGACGCGATAAATCGAATCCAATGTTTTCCGCTCGACAACCGCTTGAACAATGGCTCCCGTCACGTCATCCAAGCAATAAAACCTCATCAAATCACGACCCCTCGCCACCGCGTAAGCTTCCGCGCACGGCTCAATCTACGAAAGCTTATATAAATGTAATGAGACCGTGACCGGGGCTAGCTCATCAATCAAGCCCCCACCAACCGGCCAAGCTTCTACTTCCCCAACTCGTGCAGCTACCCTTGGTCTTCTCTTCTCTGTGCCACATATACGTTTCGACATTATATAGACACCCCCGAAAACGCTGCCCCATACAAGGTAATCCCACGACTTAACAACGGCCACTGAACAATCGGATAAGCGCGATTCGTTTCGTACCACTGTTAGGTAGCCACGCTGTTAGCCACTCTTTTTTTCTGTTTGTTTCCTTCTTTCAATACGTTGCTCACGCTTGTGCTTTTTGTAAGAGAAATGGGTCAAATGGTACGTTTAGGCGTGTTGAATTTATGTAAGAACACCGGTGTTTAACCCTTTCAGACAGTCTAATGTAATTACGAATTAGAGTGAATAGAATTCGTATTTTACAGGTATGTTTTTCATAATTACGTCGTGTGTGATTATTTTTAAAGCACACAACCGTACGTCACAGTTCTGATAATAATGTTTCTTCCATTTCTAACTTTCTTCCTAAAAGTCTCTCTTGAGTTAAATTGTTCGTGAGTTAAACTCACTCGGGATAAACTGTCGAAGGGTTGATGTTTAGGCGATTTGTGAGATTTGTGGTTGTATGTGAGGATATTCGTTTTTTGTAGGATTTAGTTGTTCTTACTTTATGGAGAGAAGAAATTGTCTATTTTAACCCCTTGCCTTGCAACGCGTCAGACCCGTGGTATGGATTTTGGTAAAAAAACACTGTAAGTTTCTTTTCGTATTTAAATTTTCACAATTAGCATTTCAACAGTAGCAAGTGTTGCATTCTCTCAAAAATGGTCCCTAATATTATGCAAACAAATAGCGGCAAATTGTAATATAAAGAAGTAAGACGTTTTTGGAATGATTTTGTGAGAAATTAATTTCTGAAAATTTATTTGTACTTTGATTAGTATCTAAAGCAGTAGTATCGTGAAATTATTTATCGAGAAGAAAATAACGATTTGTGAACGTGTGTAAAATGGAACAGTAGAAACGGGTAGAAACTATACGAACAAATTTCCTCTTCGAATTTTATGTTCGTTTTCACGCTATATAAACGTTATACAAAAACAAATATGAGTGCACTTTTAAATAAACGATCCGGATGACTGTATTTCTAAAATTTCGAGCTATGTATTGGGTCGAGAGAGTGCGTTGAAAATGCAAACATCGGTATATTTGTATCACCAGTGGAAAACGGTAT